CGGAAGAAACTACTAGTAAGAGCATCTCCAACAATAACTTAAATTTTTACTCAAATTTAAATTAACATTTGAGTAAAAAGCTTGAATTGATATAAATGGCTCCAGTGGACAAACTCCAATTTAAAGGAGAGACTCAAATTTAAACGAGGCAAACCCAAATTTAAAAGAGAATAAAGATGACCATTGGATCTTTAAAAGATGGTAAAATTTTAGCATTAAAGATTTGAGCAAGGATTTAAATCTCCCTTTATTTGAGTAAAAAAATGAGTCTCCTTTGATTTGGTATAAGTTTGAGTCAAAGGCTGGAGCAAGATTTTTAGGCTTTTTTACTCAAATTTAAATTTGAGTCAGGGTTGGATATGCCCTAAGGATGAACTTGACGAGGTTTTATTGCATTACTTTTTTGAATTGAAATTCAAACATATCTACCTCAATCTTATAGCAATTTCCTCTTCAAATCACATCAAGATGACCTTTGAAGGAGTAGGGAAGGCTACTCGGGGAATTCAGGTTATGGTGGGGTCATAAGAGATGGCAATGGTGCTGTCATGTGGAATTGAACATATCTCCTCTAGAGATCAAAGATGCAACATACTCTAAAACCATATTTATAGTTCGCAATAAACAGGGCAAAAATCCAGGAAATATAAGGTGAAAATAATTGTCTACAGTTGTGTTGAAAATGGAACAATATAGAACAAGTGAATTACATTTACTATCCTAGAAAAGATTCGATTATTTTTGCCAAGAAAATTATAAGTGCTCAGCAACCAGCAGAAGCAAGAATTTGAGGTCAAAAGTTGAGAGCCAATTTGTTTGCCTGGACACCTAAATAATCTTCATAAAACCAGAAATCATGTAGAATGACAAAAGTTCTAATGAATGACTATCTAAATCAACAATTTGTAGGACAGATACTCCAACTTTCAAAAAAATCTAGATGAACAAGACTTGAGGTAATTGAAAAACTGAACAAATGGAATCCATAAATAAAAACTTTTGAGCTTCTGGTATTCATAGAAGAATCTAGAAATACTTCTTCACCAAGATCTTCATAATACCAACAGAATTTTATACCTTCTACCATTGCAGATAGACTTGTGTTCACTATTTGTGTTCCCAGTTCTCAAAACAAGGAATACGGAGGAGAAAGAGGAGAAGACAGAAAAAATTCGAGTATGAATTTATCATAGGTTAAATTTCAGAGGAAAATATACTGTTTCCACTCGGTTTGAAATCACAAGCTCAGAATTTTACAAGACAGAATCAAGCTTTAATATTAAAATATTGAAGGCAAAATACTACCTCAGAATCTCTTGAACTAAGCAAACTTCTGTCATTAATATTGGCTAATCCAATCAAAACGATACAGTCATCAATTATCATGACCTTGCTATGCACATACACCTGAATAGATGATAATACCAAATTGATGACACAAGCAGCTTTTTCAGCCAATCAAAGGACAGAAAAACAAATAGATACAAAAAAAGCAGTAAATTCAATCAAAGGAGATTATACCTGATTGGAGACCACAGGCCCACCATCATAAAGTCTATCATAAGCTCTGAGACCATAAAAAGATATATAATCATGCATCCTAGGACCAATAAGATTGTTGAGATTATGCAATATTGAATTTTGTCCTCTGCATATTGTTCGATATTGCCAATGCAGAATGGCTCTCACAAATGCTGCACCACCATCATCGAGACCACCCAGTTAAACTTAAAACTCAATTACTATTATCCAACATTAAAATTAAAAGAATTAAAGTTTAAAGCAATTAATCAGTATTAGAAACTGAAACCCAGGTAGGAGTGGTATGACAATAATAACCCTGAAGCACTTGTTGTCATTGTATGCTCGCATGATTCGCCTGTATAATGCTTCTAAGATGCGGTTCCGTATTATTTCATCACCAGAAAGGCCTGAGATGAAGAACTGATTCTGTAACAAGGTATGAAGAAGACTTGTCAGACAAACGAACAGATAGTTGAAACCTTTCGCATGAATGAGAATTGGAACTCCTATGAAAAGAGAAAGCACACAATAATGGGGAAGCCTATAAAATTGACCAAACTATAGTGAGGTATGAAGATGGAAATTATGTAGATCTCCGTAATGAAAGACATAAGAAGCCATCATAGGTGTGATCATAGTTTTCCATCATCCACATCATCTTACTTCGAGCCTTTCCAACAGTGGGCAGTCACAAACGTGGCCACTGTCACTTTTCCTCCCTATGCAAAAGGTCATCATATTCTTCATGAGTAAGTCATCTCCATCTTGGGTAACTGATCCATATCCTGTTCTAGTATACAGTTACATTCTCCTCATTTGCTTTCGGTTGAATAGCCGTCTTGTAAAGCTGCCCTACGATGTATAGCGTCTTTAGTTTTATCCTAGATCCCCAGGACCATTTTTCAATTTGTTTTCTCTGAACTTCCCTTTTTAGAGAGGACTGGATGGGTTGCTATGGTTCAATTATGTAGAGGTAGATTAGTTCCAGAAGATGAATTGAATGGTTCAGAAGGATGAGAGAAAGCCAAGCAGAGAAACTGAAGCAGATGCTGGACAGCAAAGGTAAGATCAAACTAACTCAAGAAAGAATGGATTAAAGACGGAAGAGAAACTGAAGCCCCTTTGTATATACAAAGACCTTATTCATAGTAATTCACTTAACGAGTAGTATCTATGTTGAGGATTAAAATGTTAGAGGAAAGACATCATCAAACAGAGTTAGAAGTATGCACATATATCATGAGGGTAGCCCCTTTGTATATACAAAGACCTTATTCATAGTAATTCACTTAACGAGTAGTATCTATGTTGAGGATTAAAATGTTAGAGGAAAGACATCATCAAACAGAGTTAGAAGTATGCACATATATCATGAGGTAGCTATAGGTAACAGAAAACCGCCTGTGCAGGGGTAAAAAGAAAGAATAACAAAGAAGAAAGAAAATTAATTACTGGGACAACTAGGTGAAGAAATCTTTAAAAACAAGGATCTCAATCATCAGTTCGCAATCTTCTGAACAAGATTGAGCATGGTATTAGAATTCAAATTTCAGATGGAAAAGCATGCCTGCCTACATACAACATCAATGCCACAGATAAAATGACCTCTCTCTCTCTCTCTCTCTCTCTCTTGATATTAAGAATCTTATTTCAAAGAGAGGCAAGTCCTCATTGCTCAATCACACTACACAGGCTTATCAAATAAGAAAGAAGGATTTGGTCAGTTACTCTATATTCAACGGACTGAAATCATGTATTTCTAAATGTTACTGCAGAAAGTTGGTGTTTCCCATCCTTCAGCCGAAGCACGTGGATTTCTCTTTGCTCCCACTGTGCCTGATCGGAGTGCTAGCACGCCACTTTTCCTGTTGTACGCTACAAAAAGTTGCTAAGGGGAAAGTTCAGACTTCTCAAAGTGTAAGTAGGACGGCAAACGACCTTTTGTTGGAAAAGTACTGCATAGATGTGGGGGTGATAACAGTTTTCCAATTTATTTCATACTTAGTGACAACCTCCCAGTCTTGACAGCATATGTCAGCCTCTGGGTGTGTCGTTTGATGTGTATGTTATCTATTTTACTAGTGTCCTATATCGAATGCAGTAAACCTTCTACTAAATAAATGGCATCACTTACTATATGAGAGGTTGTGTGCACTTCTTTCATTCGCATCTTGATTTTACCATCATTCCTTAACACAAATAAGTAGAAAACTCGTACTTTCAAATAAAAAATCCAATTACATACCTCAATATATACCAAGTGTTCTGCTTTTTCAATAAGCAAACAATAAGCATGGTGAATGCTCTCTTCAATTTGGCTGGTTCCAGCGGAGCACTGACTGACACTCCTTAAAATCTGAAAATGAGTGGTCACAGTGATGAGTCCAAGTTAAATGCACAGAAAGAATAATAATAATAGAATGACAGCATCACAATTTAAGGAAGGCAGGTATAAGTTTTTTAACATATCCAAACATGGATACTGCCATCTCAATAGCCTTTCCTCTTCTATTAGTTGTATACTTTTTCTCGCTAGGAAAAGGAAAAACTCCATTAGGAGAGCAGGAAACTAACAGTATTTCAAACTTAATGTTTCTATTTATCTACCTAAATAAATGTGTTGCTCAGCTAGTCTCTATCAAAAATCAATAGTTTTTCCAACTGTCCCAGAATCCTCGTGGCTAGCAAATCCAAAAAAAATACGCATAACAAAGATATATGCCAATGTCGTGCAACCTTAAGCAAATGCATATGTGCTACAAACACAAGGTGTCAGGGAATGCATGTACTCATAATAGGCATGAAATGTGGATGATAAATTAAGCTGACTTAAGATTGTGTAATTTCGGTAGCATCAGAATATTACAGGATGTCATGGAGATTTCTCTTGCGGACAAGCATGGTGATATGCCGATGTCCAGCAAGCTTGAAAAATATATATATGNGGTAGCATCAGAATATTACAGGATGCCATGAAGATTTCTCTTGTGGACAAGCATGGTGATATGCCAATGTCCAGCAAGCTTGAAAAAATATATATGTTTACAAACTCAAACATAATGTTTATACAGATGACATCTAATTCTAGAAGTGTTCCAGCAATCTCCTCTTGATGGTAGGTTAACACCATGTCATGGAAATTAAAAACAGATATCAGAGTAACTGTAGACACTTAGCAGAAGGCCTCATAAACTTTCCCCGAAGTTATAACTTATGCCGTGCTCCGTAGAATGATAGTCAATTTGAAGCTTCAAAAAAATATATTTTCCAATGGTAAACTATAAAATAATATCTAATTAAGGTTAAAAGGAGTTACAGAAATGCATTCTTCCTCCTTCCTTCAGCTGGTCCTAATGAAAGAATTCTATGTAGGATTAATAATAATGCAAATCAACAGAACACTGGATATGTACATGATAGATCAGAAACTAAAAGGCAGCAAAACTGTCCAAAAACTGAAGAAAGAGTTGGCTGCTTCAAGATTTGAAGCCCGCCTGACAGTAACATGGAACATGAGGACCAACTTGACCTGTTTCATCAGCAGATACAACCAGATCACCTCGCTCTTGTGTCTCCCACCATTCTTTACCTGAACTTTTCATGCCAGGCTCTGAAGGCAATCCCCGCATAAAATCCGAGGTGCCATGATCATCTACAATGCCTTTCAGTGGCATATACCTGCAGTAACAGGTTCAATCTTTGGTTTCCGGAAAGAGAAAGGGCTTCTGCTGGCTTTGCTTGGCTGATGAGAATAATCATGAGGCATATCCATACCATTTAATCTGGGTTCTCCATAGGACGCATCCATCCCTTCAGCCTCTTGAGGCATCAGCAGCGGGATATCTTGAAAAGATGATCGACCAGAAAAGGAATCCTGTCTTTTGAGATCTTTATAATAGTCTCCACCATTCTTATATTCAACCTCCATCTCCTCGCTTACTCCCATGTAGTGTGGAATAACCATATGATGGTGAGGCATGAGTAGTGGTATTGCTTGCTCATTTGGAGCTTTATTTCTCTAAAAGAGTGCATAGCAATGGTAAGATTATAAAAACATCAAACATTGCACAAGAAAACAATTTGTAACAAAATATCCACCTTAGCATAGTTCCAGCGCTGAACAAAGTGCCTAGCAACATCACGGCAAGGTGGTCCCCAAAGAGCACAGTGAACATCATGCCATGGCATGCGTGGATATTTTTCACGATCTAATTCATCTTTCATAGTATCTTCCCAAGAATTTGGTTCCGATTCCCTGCCAAATTGGTGATAAAACCAACTTTGAATCATTTGAAAACTGGAAAGAAAAACTCTTGTACAAGTTCAAGCCAGGCAGAGACTACCAGGGTTGCTACTGGTTGGTTTTCAAGGTTAAAGATCATCTTTGCAGTAGGCTAAAAAGTGACCAAAACATATGATCAGGGGATTGCAGAGAATGGCTGAAATACTCATCTCAATGAAAATGAGCTGAANAGCTGGGTTCACCGTAGGACACATCTGTCCCCTCAGCCTCTTGAGGCATCGGCAGCGGGACATCTTGAAAAGATGATCGAGAAGAAAAGGAATCCTGTCTTTTGAGATCTTTATAATAGTCTCCACCATTCTTATATTCAACCTCCATCTCCTTGCTTACTCCCATGTAGTGTGGAATAACCAGATGATGGTGAGGCATGAGTAGTGGTATTGCTTGCTCATTTGGAGCTTTATTTCTCTAAAAGAGTGCATAGCAATGGTAAGATTATAAGAACATCAAACATTGCACAAGAAAACAATTTGTAACAAAATATCCACCTTAGCATAGTTCCAGCGCTGAACAAAGTGCCTAGCAACATCACGGCAAGGTGGTCCCCAAAGAGCACAGTGAACATCATGCCATGGCATGCGTGGATATTTTTCACGATCTAATTCATCTTTCATAGTATCTTCCCAAGAATTTGGTTCCGATTCCCTGCCAAATTGGTGATAAAACCAACTTTGAATCATTTGGAAACTGGAAAGAAAAACTCTTGTACAAGTTCAAGCCAGGCAGAGACTACCCGGGCAGCTACTGGTTGGTTTTCAAGGTTAAAGATCATCTTTGCAGTAGGCTAAAAACTGTCCAAAACATATGATCAGGAGATTGCAGAGAATGGCTGAAACACTCATCTAAATGAAAATGAGCTGAATCATGCTACTTTGATCCAGCAAGACAAATATAGAAAACTGCTCTTCCAATGGTTCAGTACCAAAATAACTTGATAACTACAACTCAAAATTACAGTACAGGCTCACGAGCAAATCAAGATCAATGTCAAGTGACAAATGAGGAGTTCCAATGGTTGACTAGACATAGTATCAGGCATCACATTTCATAGTGAAACTTTTGCCGATTATACTTCTAACTATCTGAACCACATTTCCAATGTAGAGACAAGATGGAACATACCTCGGGTTATTATAGTCTTTTCCCGGCCATATCAGAGGAGGGTGATCACCCACTTTATGTTCAAATGAGTCATAACGGCCAAAGCATAGATCAAGTCCTCCAATAAAGCAAACATGGTAATCAACAATTACAAGTTTTTCATGGTGGGACCTACATGCAACTAGAAATTGGTATGAGCAGCTGCAAACGATCAGTTTGATTTAAGCATTAAACAGAGTCCAAATAACAACATCAAGGAGATAAAAATGAGATCCAAATCCAAGCCTAAGAAGGTTACCCTTCCAAAGTGAATAGACATCACAGGAGAAATGGTCAGGGTGACGAAGAACTCTGATATTCTCATGGATGCCAAGAAGCTTTCTCTTAATATACACACTGTTGATTTTCAGAGCAAGAGCAACCTCTTTGTACAGAAGAATGTAAATCTGCAGTCATACAAGAGATTAAAACCATCTGTCCTGTATAAGTTTCCGAAACAAAACAATTAGCATCATTGCCAGCAGCAACAGATTTCAGAGCTAATCCAATCTTTGCAATTGCTCATCAATAACTTCCACAAAATCTGTATTTAATTGAGAAAACCAGAATATGACGCAATTGTGATTACCTATGCAACGTGTATTTATAAATAAAGAGGTACAAACTTACATCCCTACATATATGTATATATATATATAGACAGAGAAAGAGAGAAGAAGGACTCATCATCATTTGTGGAAGCTGTGAATTAAATGGAGTAAATTGTAGAGATTGGTCCAGAACAACGAGAGGTTTAGTTGGATGTATTTTAACCATACAAGGATGACGGGCAATAGCAGTAAACCATAGGAGGGTTAAAAAATTAGCCCTTCTCATTCAAGAAAGAGAATTAAGAAGTATTTCAAAGGCTCCCATTGAATTTGAGTTTAAGACACCTCTCTCATTGTTTTAGTGCCTAAAAGGGGTTGTAATAGACTTCTAAATATCGTTTCGGTGTATTATTTCAGTCACTTAAGAAACGGAAACGTTTTGACGTATTTTGAAAACGTTTCATCTTGTTTCGAAAATATAATGAAAAAAAAAATAAGAATTATTTTTTTAAAACATTTGATGGAAATATATCAAAATATCTTAAAATATTTTAAAATATTTTAAAATAATTGTGTAAATATATTAAAATATTATAATACATTTAAAACATTATGAAATATCTCGAAATATCAGAATTTCAATTTCATCATTATTTCGTTTTGGTCTCCTTGAAATCAGACATTTCAAAAAAAATATTTTGATCCTTGGTCGGTTACAAAGGCATTTAGCAGATTGCTGACCACAGCAATGCCACTGGTTTTCTGAATGCTTATAACTGGATAATATCTGCCGGTGCACCCACCATACCTATTGTGATTTTTTTTTTTTGGGCAGGAGATTTGAACCCTTGACCTCAAAAAAATAAAGTCTTTACATAACAAGAAATATCATTGAACCAAAAACTCACTGTGATATCTATTGTGATTAACATGCATAAAAGGAACATTAAATTATGAGTTTAATATGCCAATAAAACGAAAACCAAAGCTATGACGTATGGCACCATCCACACCGGTCGTAAGCCTGCTTCAGTTAAATAAATCAACAAAAGAGAAATTGCAAGGTCCATGCAACCACGTAATTCTAGAAGGAAAATAACAATCGTTCATAACTATTTAAAGCAGTTCCTAACGTATGTAATTTAAATGAAAAAAAGCAGACCAGATATACACAACCTTGTCAACCACAAAAAAAGCCAAGATGGAACCTCTCACATACATTCAACACTCCAACTACTGAAGTTTCGTCTGTACGGAACAACATCATTGAAGAAGATCTAAGGTTATAAAATATAAACTAATGGCCAAGTGACACAGACGTAATAAGTAAGCGATGCTCTAATGTTACTATTAAGGATTAACAAATGAAGGCGAAAGCAGTTTGGAGGTACAAATATCAACAAGTTTCCAGTTACATATAGAAGCAGACAAATAAGCAACCAGAAACACGGTTACTAGACTAGAATTTACTTTCAAACATATAAAAAATGACTTAAATAGAGAGTGCAGGGTAAGATTACCCTCAGTTGATCGATGCAGCAGAATGAATGAACTGATTAAGCTGGCAAAAGTGAGTTTATGAGAAGAAGACCATCGTAACTATGCAGTTCATAAAATTATTAACAGTAAGAGATCAATAAAGTATATAAGAATTGGTCGACCCTGCTCCAAGTAGCATCTATCCACATGAAAATTCAAGCAATCCTTTTTAAACCACAAAAGAATGCGCTACCAGAACTATATAAAGTATTACATGACAGACTTCAAGTGATTCACAACTCATAGCAATATACGTTAACTTCCAATGGATAAATGAGACGGAACCATGATTGAAGATTGCGATATCAGAGATCGACTTAAAAGGCATTGAAACATATCGGTCGCAGTGTCATAGCACTGTATCAAACAAGGTGCGTGAAATAATAAAAAGTTGAACATGATAAGAGATTCAAAGCATAAAACAACATCACAGAATGGTATCATCCAATTCGGTAACAATGATTCGGATGACTCTGATTGACTCAGAGATGAGTTGCACAACTCAGTCGAGTCATGTAAGACTCATAGTGTATATAGAACGTGGAACGGTATCAGAACGTATAATTGGTATCGGCATTTGTGATATTTTAAACCATGGGCTAAAGATAGCTAGTCATTCGCCAAATAGCAGACTCAACTTTTACTTCGGAAAACAAAAACTCCTCATAACCAGTTACCTAATGCAGCTACTATTTTCAGTTACAAACAACAATCCTTGAAAACCAAACAAACAACTTCCCTCAGCTCAACAAACTTTGTCATGACAAGAAAAATCATAAATCATAAATCAGGTTCAAAAATTAAAATTCCAAAATTGAACAAGAAAAATTAATATTCTCTTCCTAGAATGTGACCAATTCTGCCCTTCATGACTGATGACATAATTACTCCATTCATTTTCCTCTTTCAATCTGTAATTGCTTGTAAACAGTACTTGTTCAATATGAATGGTATAGTTCAGTACATGTTCAGTATACCATAACATGTATAATTAGTGTCCTGCAAAGTGAAAACCTGCGCTTTGGATCCACGAATCTTGGACACTAAAGCGGATATTCAACTTTGAATGATATATTTTCAGCCAAGAACATGCTCATAATCACATTTAATATGTATTTGTAATTCCTTTTTTCTTTAACACTCAACATATTACATCTTTTGGATATTGTCACAGATCTTCTCCAATTCTACAGAAACCATAAATTGTCTTTGAGAATATTTCCCTTTCTTATGGACTCCTGCAATTTTTGTTTGGCTATCTCATAAATTGTTTTATTTTTATTTGGCTGTCTCATGGACTCCAGCATTCTCAACCATAAGACAAGGTATTCACAGCCAGCAGAAATTTTAGCTTTTGTACGACAAAAAATCTTCGTTACTTCTAATTTACAATAATTAAACCTCAAAGGACAAGCCTTGTTTCAGGAGTTCCACAGCTGCATTGATGTTTGGATGATGCTGAGGAAACAAGAGGTTCAGACAAAGAGAGAGAGAGAGAAGGCGTGAAGGTGTCTAGCATTAAGTGAGGGTGAGAGAGAAAATTGGATGAATTGGGGGGGGGGGGGAATTAAGGGAAAATGTGGATGAATTAAATTTCAATTTGGATTTTAATTTGATGAATTATAATATCAAAAGGTTAAAAATGTAATATCAAAAAATTAAAAGTATAATATCAAAGGATTAAAGTGTAATATTACACCAAGATCGATCGCTCTTTCCAACGACAGGTCTTAATTCAAATTACACTTAAATCCCTAAAATATGACAATGTTTATTTATCAAGTTATTTATTTATTCATTTCTTTTGGATGGTCCACAATAACCTTATCTCTCTACCCTGTTCCTGCTTTTTTTTTTTTTTTCCTTTCTCGCCTTTTTCTTCTTTTCCCGCCCAAATAACTTCTCTTATCTTCTCTATCCCTGGTACATATAACTTGAGAATAAAAAATATTTTTGTGATGCAAAGTATTTTTTTGAAAAGAATTTGGACGGGATGTTTCCTTATGAAATAGTTGAATTTTTTTTGGAAAAATTTAGTTCCCACTTTTATTGGATCCGTCATCCACATCCGTCGCAACTCCAAAAAAGGTGTAACCCAACACAAAATAAGCAACATCAAAGTAACATTCAATTTCATCAATGTAATATTTAATTCATTAAATTAATACCAAATTAACATTTAATTCAACCAATTAATATTCAATTCATTAAATTAACACTAAATCGATATTCAATTCATCCAATTAATACTCAATTTATCAAAATTATCATCCAATAAAAATTTAATTTATCAAATCAACACCAAAGTAATATGAAAATTAATTAAATAAACATTTACTTCATTAACTCAACGCTAAATTAACATTACATTTCATCTAATAAACATTCAATTAATAAAATTAACATTTAAATTCAACTATTAACATTAAATTCATCCAATACATATTCATTCGTCAAATTAACACCAAATTTATGTTCAATTGATAAAATCAATACCAAATATATATTCAATTCATACAATTTACATTAATTTGGTGTTGGTTTGATGAATTGAATGTTAATTTGGTATTGATTTGATGAATTGAATTTTAATTTGATGTTAATTTAATGAATTGAATGTTTATTATGTGAAAAAAAATGTTAATTTGTTGAATTGAATGTTAATTTGGTGTTGATTTGACGAATTAAATGTTTATTTGATAAATTTCTATATTACATTGGTGTTGGTTTGATAAATTGAATTTTATTAGATGATTTTGGATGTTAATTTGATGAATTGAGTGTTAATTGGATGATTTTGAATATAAATTGGATGAATTGAATGTTAGTTTAATATTAATTTGATGAAATTGAATGTTAAGTTAATTTGATGAATTATTTATTTATTAGATGGAATTGAATGTGAATTTGATGAATTGAATATTAATGTTGTGTTAATTTGATGAATTGAAAGTTAATTTAGTGTTAATTTGAAGAATTGAATATTAATTTAGTGTTAATTTGATGAATTGAATATTAGTTGGATGAAATTGAATCTTAATTTGATGAATTTAATTTTAAATAGTTAATTAAATGAATTAAATGTTTATTATATGAAGATATTATAATTTTTCTATTGGATTCAAACTTGGATTAAAATTATAATATTAAGATTTAATCTAAATACTTGATAAATTTTTGTATCATATTTAAGCAAAGCTCTTATTAATATTTGTTGTGTTTGGTCTTGAATTTTGGGAGCCGACTGTTTTGTGTTGTGTTGATGCGGCGTCGTTTGAGCTAACAACAACATTTGTTGTTATTAAGGAACAACAGAGGATCTGTGCCCCTTTATCTCTCTCCCTTTGTTTCTTCTTACCAGCACCACCGTCAAAGTCAGCAACACCACCACCGCCCCAGCGACACCACCAACAACACTGTCGCTGCTAACCCCTCTCAGGTATGCCTCATCTCTCTTTCTCTCTCTCTCACACCCATCCTACCCCCACCTCTTCTTTGCCCTCTACTACACACTCATAACCCACACTCACCCACACACAAATTGCACACACACACAAACACACCCAGACCCATCACACACACGCCCAACACAGACCCACCACACACACATCTACATAATCTCCTAAGTAGTAAAATTTAATGGATGCTGAGTTGGGTTTACAATGGGTGGCTTTATAAATTTTGAGTTTAGTGAATAATAGGTACAAGAGGGGTTGGATAATAAGAACTTATTTTCAATGCAAGAGAAATGTGGCTTGATTATACCAGTAATAATTCATTTTTTTTTGTTTCCTTGTTGTGTCTGCCTGATTTCTGATCCCTTGCATATGCTTCTTAGTCCCCCAATTTTGGTATATATAGATCTTTGGTAGTCATTACCTTGTGTATTTGGGTCACAACAAAATTTAAAGGAATTTTCATTGCTTAGGTTCTCAAAATGCAGTTTTGAAATTTAGTATTAGGTGTTCATCGGTGATGGCTCGTAATCTTAAGAAAAGGGTGTTTTTCACCTGGATTCTTTCTCTTGGAAACCCATAAAAGGGCTTCTTCTTCAAGTTCTAGAGGGTTCCAAGGGATAGTGAGGTAGCCTATGTTTTTGAATCCCTATGTGGCTACATTACCTATTCAGCCTCATGCCAAAACAAATTGGTGAGCCACAAATATAATCACACAACATCATTGTTCATATAGGAATGAATCTGGACTCTAGAGATGTGTTAGGATTGGGAATGGAATGGCATTACATATACTAAGAGATAGCATGCTTCACTATTTTTTGCTTTTTCTTTTTAGCAATTTAACTTATTTATGTGTTCCACCTTCTCATAAGAGAGCCAAACTAAGGACAATATCAACCCTAAACCAACGCTCATTCGGTTCAATCTTTTTCTTTACATAGGCTTTACTTTTGTGTAAATACATAGTAAGTTTATGGTTTGATGTTTTGATGTGAGGTTCACTGGACTGCCATCAACTTGCATCTTTAGCAAATAGCTACAAGTCTCTCAAAATATAAAGAATTTGTGGGCACCATGCAATACTACCATCTTCTTTCCTCCTTGACTATGATTTCTTAGGCAAAATTAGGATAGTTCGTATTTTGTAAGAGCTCTTTTTTTGTGTCATTCTTCGCATTTGAAATGCTATTGGATAGAGCTTTATCTCAATAATTTGGAGATCAATAATTAAACAGAAGAAACATACAAAATTTTCATTGCGGTAAGCTAT